TTATTTATTTTTAATATATTAAAATTTTAAGAGGTGCTATGTCAGGAAATGTTCTGTTTTCTGGAAAAACTGAACACTAAATAAAACGTTTAAAAAATACATTAGATTTAAATTGTACTGATGTATTTAAACAAGTTTGTTGGAAGTTATTGTGTCTCCATCTGTAATGTTTCACCTGCACCTTTTGTATACTGCAGCTCATTTTTTGTTGACCACCCCTAATTTTTGAACGTTAACAAAAATATCTTTGGTATCATGCTTTCAACTGGCACTCAGGCACTTAATGTTACTTCTTCATTCTCTGGTGCAACTTGACCTGAGGCTCAATCAAGAGCAGATTGCTGGGAATAAATACTGTAGCATTAGCGTTAGTTGATTCAGAAAATAAAGAGAAATTAATGGCACAATTTTTAAATAACATAGTTTTAAATCTTTGATCTTGGAGGGAGGTATCAAGTATTTATTTAAATCAAAAGGCTTGAGTCCAAGGAGTCTTGAGTCATCGAGTTTGGCTTTGTCAAGTTCATACTTAAATCATCAAATCTGTGACTTGAATCTGACTTGAGTCCAAGTCATGTGACTCGAGCCCACACCTCTCCATGTTAGAAGCATCGATTCATTTTTGGTTTAAATCTTCTCATGGGATTTGTTAATAACAAAAATATAGTATATTGCCAGCAAAACTAAATTCATGTCTTCAGGCTGCAGGGTCATTAATGTGCACAGCATCTAGAGACCTTAAAATCACATTGATTCACTTCACTGACTTTTCACATACAACCTTTTTCCACACACACGATTTTTTTTTTTGAGGACATACACAACTGGCATCAGTGGATATTCTCTGATTGTAACTTACAGGTAAATGCTCGATTCATTCCCTCCAATGTCAGGGGACTGCAGCTTCTGCACCAGAATGATGATGATTCCAATGAAGAGGACAAAATTGATCTGAGAATAATGAACACATAAAATAACATAAATGTGGAGGAGTTGTCATAAATTACATTCCAGTCAGTAAAGTAATAATTAAGCATGTGTAAAAAAATAACACACACAAAAAAAGGGAATGAACAAATCCGTCATACCATAATGGAGGCCACAACTGGTCCTTTGATCACCCACCAGAGGGCAGTGTTCTCATTTGTATCCCAGCATCTGGAGGAGGTGGAGGAGAACATTGTGTTTCATAGTCATTCAGCATGCTCTCCTTCCCTTAGATCAACACAAGGCAACACATAGCACCATGCATTATGTCAAGACAGTGGCTCTTTGCAGAAAAAGAGGGGTGGAGGGGAAAGGTTTAATTTGCATGCTAAAATATTGGTAGCTTACTTCCAATGCAACACATGATATATGTTTTTAAAATGTGATCGGATTTACTCAGTGATTTAAAAAAGAAAAAAGGCATGGTCACCAAGAATAAATGTATCAGTGGTGTCTACATTGAGGGGAGTTGTTTTCTAATCCTTTTCCAAATATTCCTGCAATTGCATATGCCCTCTTTACCTTATAGGTGCCCAGATACACTTGCAAGGATTATCAAATTTTTAATTTTTGGGTGCGATTCTCAGTATCCTGAAGGCCTTTGCTGCTTTGCTCTGCTGAAAATGTTCTCAAGTACCTTTTACACTATGTGGACATGCATTTCTTCCTTTTCTGAGATCAAACTAAAGTTGGAAGAGGAGTCATACCCAGTGTCGTGAAAGTGGAGCCTCAGAACTGCCCAGACAGTGACGCAGATGGTGGGAGTCCCTGTAATAACAGCATTAGTAAAATACAATACAATTGGTATCATACATCAGTTTCCAGCACTTCTCATTAGTTCAGTCACATTTTGGATGATGCCAACATATAGCAACAGCTTTATTGTAACCCTTTTTATACAGCATTCTATGTAAAGATCAGATTAAAGATCACTATTAGGCATAACCTAAAATGTTTGTGTCAAGTTCTGCTACTTTAGTTGTATTTTAACATGGTGTTTGAAAACATTTATTGGCAAGTTTGGCTAAAATATTAAAGCTCTTGGCAAAAAAATGAAGAAAATGAAGACCCTCAGGATAAATACACACTGTAGCTGTAGCTCAGGCTTCTTCAACTCTGGCTCACTGATTATTTCTGTTTACATGTGAATAAAATTTAAAACCTGAAAAAATATATCACCTGAATAACTAATATTTTGGTTTAATCCTTCAAAGCAGCAGAGCGCTCCTGTGCTGATGATGGCCAGTTACAACATGCATTATTGATGACAGAAGCCCCCCTTTGCAGGCCGCTCTCGTTGCAGGCTTGTCTATGATCAGGCTACTTTTACAATGTGTCAAGTGTCAAGTGTACATTCATAATGACAGTAATAGCTCAGGGAAATGTTCGGCGCCTGGGTCCTTAGCTTTCTGAAAATGTGGCCGCCTGAGCAATAAAGCTGATTAGCCTTGCTTTAGATGATGAGAATCCAGAACATCTGATTTATTCAAAAATACTATCTCTGGTCTTCCAAACATTAAAAAGAAAAAAAAAAGAGTTGAATGTACTCAAAAAAGGTACAAGTAAACTAACTTCTGAAACTGAAACTGATGCATAAATGGTTGAATTTACTGCATGAACAGAAGGATAAGTCTCTATTTACCACCATTAATGACAGAAATGGACACTCACCCCACCCTACAATGGTGTACCAGTAGAAGTAACGTCTCTCAGGAAAGAAAGTCTCCACCAGCAGAGTGAAGAGATACAGACCCTCAATGAAGAGCCAGAAATAGTTGGACATGACACAGTAATGGAAGAAAATCATCACTGCTTTACACGGCACCTGCACAGGGGAAACACACGGGGAAGGAAATCAATTTTATCAGTGATTTCATGTCTGTCCTGCTGATGTCGGACAATGCTTTTAGGGGTTTTGACGCAGCCTAGATTTATTATCATCCCACTTCGAGGCTGGTGCAACAATATCATATACAAGCACAGCGTGATCCACAATATGTTATACCTTTAAAATTTTACATACATTTGAATATGTCCTTGACTTGTAAGGAGTCTTTAAATCCTAAAAGCATCTGGCTGCAGCTTCAAAATGTAAAAACCACGTTTAATCATCAGCCTTTCGTTTAAAAGCTCAAGACAATAAATGTCAGAGAGACAAACGACGTTAATTCCTGTAAATCACAGTGTAAACAGAGATCGTTGTCGCTGGGGTGATGGTGTTGCAACACAGTGCACAACACTGCAATTACCCTCAAGTTGTAGCGTTCAGCATCAATGTGTGGGTAAAAAAAAAAAATTGTTTTCACAGCCAGCAGTAGACACCCACCTACATGTCAGGTGGACTGTAATCTAATGACATCATGTTAATGAAAGAGTCCATATTCTGAGTAGGGTCAACCAATTACAGCACAGTACCACAATGCCACGATGGTGACCTATGATCACCATAGTGACAACAGTAAAGGAGCGGGTTTGAACAAAGGGCAAAGTAACCATTGATATGTTAATGAGCCTCCAGTAGAAGATTTCCACTGGCCTTGCTGGAGCCATTAGCGTACCTAATTAGCTGTATTTATCATGCCTGCTTTACAACATTGAGCAATGTGTTGTAACCAGACAAAGGCTAAGAGCTTGTTCTGCATTTGTAATCGGGGAGTATTAGTCATCTAATATCGTGTTTGCTTTTTTGCAAAAAAAATTTGCATGTGATTGAAGTTCCTTCAAAGGTGTGTATCAAACGAGAAAACTGGAGGAGAACTGTTTCAAGCCCTCTGTGCGCAAACCTCTCGTTATATCTCAAACAGAACAGGCTTGATCACATTTTACACGCATGCTTTGCTTTTTAAAACGAGCGACTGAAATTCGATGAAATCCTTTAATTACGCTCTCTGGAACTGATTAACCAATGATCTTGGAAACATTTTTGCAACTGCCAATACTCTGCAAACTTCTTATACTGACTCCAAACCTGCCAGCGATCTGAGTAGAGATCATTTGGAATACTAAAAGCCTCATTTCGCAATTATCTGCATCAAATTGAAAGTAATGAAATAATTAGCCTGCTGAACTGAAAATGTATTTTTTCATTTTTAACCAAACAAGCAGTCGTGGCTGTTTTCTTTGCTGTGGGTGAAAACCATATATGGATGTAATTGGTCAGCCACTGATTATGTGAATGTTCAGGAAAGACCACGCAGTATATGAATCAGTTGTTGTTACTGACGGTGTGTTCGAAGCAGTGGTCTTCCTCAGCGTACAGCACACCGTCCTTGATGAAGACTGAGATGGCTCTCAGGATGAAGGACACAAACAGGTTCATGTGGATGAAGTTCCTGGTACAGTGGAGCTTCCTGGAGAGAAGAGAGATAAGATATATCACATCTTATCTTGTTTCCACTCTTAAAATTGAATCAAAGCAAATTATTTAATATAGTTGGAATTTTTTTTGTGTTTAACCCTTCTGATTTTTACTCCTTCTATTTACTGGTGTTTTCACTGTGCTACTACGTCTAAACCATATAGCCATATATTATTTTTTTCTGAATAAATTAGGCTATGCAGAAATGCATTAGTTTGGCATGTCTTTGGTACTCTTTACAGGGTCCAGGGTAGTTTTTATGAAGCCAATAAAAACAACAACCTTTAAGTCCACCTATTCAGCAGTAAAAACAATACATACACATGTAATGTATAGTTTATAAAACACTATAATGTAGTTGTAAGCAGCTGTATGTATTTATCAATGTACAGCATTTGTCTCTCCTATGAAGACCACAGGAGTTATACTTGTTAACAAATACATAACAAATACTCACATATGATTAAAAATATACTATACAGGATTTTCCTAAAAACAGTGTAGTATGCATACAGAAGTAATCCCTCTCAGTCTTCACTTACAACCCATTAGAAGTGTGTGGCGGTTTATTTTTCTGCAGAGACTCTGCCCTCTGCCTGTATTTTCTTATTTTCTTCTTATTTTTTGTATTTGGGGTGTTTATGGGCGCTCAGGTGAGGTCAGGGCTTTATAAAAAGGTAGTGATGGTGGACTCTGTGGATGAGGACCTGCACAGTATTTAGATATAAACGACTCATTCTAAGGTAACAAAAACACAAGGTGACTTTAAGCAAATGAAAGAGCAGTTACAAATATTAAACACCATTTCTGTCAATAGATGCCCCTAAATCCAACACACTGGACATTTAACCAATAATTGTTAAAGGATAACTTCGGTATTTTTCAACCTGGGCTCTATTTCCCCATGTGTATGTGTGCGTATGATTCATAGGTACAACTCGTTCTAAAATTGGTTCAGTATTGAGGGAGCCGGCAGCCGTGAGGTAGATATGGGGGCAAATGTGTCCCGTATAAGTTTGCGCATTAAAAGTGCTTTTTTTCACCACTGACCGGTTCAAATTGCCAGTGTTATCCCTATAAATAGCATACTAAGCGTTTCCCTGACCCTTCACTTCCCCCCAGCTGTGACGTCATCTCGCGAGAGCTTTGCTTGTTGCCGGAAGAAAACAGAGGAGCCATGCTGAGTGCCGCTCAGAGTGGTGCTGGATGTCCCGGAGTACAGTTGAGAGTTTTACTGCATCTGTATCATGGCTGCATATTTTCCCGATTTCGAGAATGAGGATGAGCCCTTTTATTACGATGGCCTCCCGTACTTATTTGAGCCCGAGTATACGGATGAGGAGCTCCTACAAACTGAAGAGCAGACGAGGATAGAGAGAGAGGGCCAACAAGCAGACGAGGGTGAAACAGCGGCTGCACTAACGCAAATCTCTAAGGACTGGTGGTGCTCCTTGCTGTGACTCCATGCCCACAGAGGAAGAATGTCTGTGTTGCAACGAGTGGGACCTGTTGCCCAGTATTCATGGTCTCGATGTGTCCTGGGGTGATACAGAAACTACCAAACGCTGTGTAACTATGTTAGAGGATTTCCCCCCTCTGATCAACAGGGCAGTGCTGGATACCTTTTTTCATGTGCCCAAAATAAATTGGAGGAGGCGGCCAAAACCACAGGGACCAAATGGTCAACTATCCATCTAGTAAGTATGACTAATATGTCTTTATGCGTGTAATACTGATACCTAGAATTGTCTCCGAGACGCACATTTACTGTTGCATACTTTGCCCTCGTATATATCGTCAACATCCATCAACAAGCAAAACTCTTGCGAGATGACGTCACGGCCGGGAAGAGGTGAAGGGTCAGGGAAACTCTAGTATGCTATTTACAGAGATAGCACTGGCGATCTGAACCGGTCAGTGGTGAAAAAAAAAACACTTTTAATGCGCAAACTTATACGGGACACATTTGCCCCCATATCTAGCTGTCGGCTCCCTCAACACTGAACCAATTTTAGAACGAGTTGTACCCATGAATCATACGCACACATACACATGGGGAAATAGAGCCCAGGTTGAAAAATACCGAAGTTGTCCTTTAAGTTTAGGAAATGTGAATAAATAAGTTTAAAAAAGTCAAAATACTGAAAGTTAGTCTCGGTAATTTTTAAACTGCTAATTTTGTCTAGAATCAAAAGATATTTCGTTTAGATATTTAGGTGACGGATGCAGAAAATACTTAAAAGTGAGAAGCTGGAACTAGTTTGCTTTGAGGACCTCTGATGCCTCAGTAATGTAAAAAGAAATGTAAAAACAAAAAGCTAATTTTTATGAGTGTTGCCACCCCTACTAATTTTCTTTCTTATTTCCATTTGGGCTAAACCTGATTTAAATTTCATGGCTTCAAATTTGGAGAACAAGCATAAATGAGGAACCTGACTTTGTGATGCTCACCTGAATCTGCAGAGAATGACCATGGCTGTAGTCAGAGACACCAGCGATGTGCTGTAGCCAACCGTGTACAGGGCCCTGACTGAATCGAAGTACGTATGTATCGGGTCATCTGTCTAATGTTGGAGACAGAGGGTTAGTCATGTGTTTGTGATAAGTGAATCATGACATTTAGATGAGGTAAAAGAGGTCGTACAGGTTCACTGGTGTTGTCATAGAACATGCAGACGTCCACGTAGTGAGGGAAAGGTTCAGACCAGCCGTCCTCGGTGCAGTTACGACTGACCTTCCCCATCTCTGCAATTAGAAAACATGCCTCAGGCTGAACTGGACTGAACATTATTAATTTTTAAATACAAATGAGATCAAATCAAATGAGAGCCGCTGCTGAGCTCCCTGTTGCTCTCACCATCCTCAGGGTCCATGAGGTCGTTGAAGAGCTCTGGACAGTTGACCACCACCACTTCACCGACTCTGGCCGCCTGCCAGCAGGTAAGGTTATCCCACATCCATGGACACACTAAAGGGATGAGAGAAACACAAACACAACAAGGTCAGTGTGAAGCTCCTGTTAGCATTCCTGTTGTTACTGAGGTGATGAAACGATACTGACACTAATTGAAATGAACTGAGCTGAATTAATTTTGACTTTAAGGCAAATGAATTGGGAGGTAATACAGTTTCCAAAGATATTGAGCATTTTCATGACACCCACATGCACTAAACTACTGCTAACATTGCTAACATGGAGACAGCTTTCAAATCTTATTAGCTCCCTATCTCACATTTTAACACTTTATCTTAAAAAGCATGTGTTAATACCTGATGATCTCTAAGTTTCAGTGCCAGTAAGATGTTTAGAGAGGTTTTAAAATAAAAGTAAATCCAAAACTATGAAAGTGAGGTGGATAAGGATAAGGGTGGATAGGATTATGATATTAGGGTGTTTGAAATTACACCTTCAACTGGAGAGGCAGCATACTGATAACAGCTTCCAGCAGCAGCTGAGAATGACGATGAGAGCAGTAAGAGTGAACCAAAGTTGCAGGCCAGACAGTTAAACAGTGAGCTGAGACACACTATAAAGCTCCATCAAGCCGAGGGGAGATACAGACCAGGGGCGGAGCCAGATGTTGTGAACATTTGAGACTCAGCTCGAAGCCAGGGGGGTCCATATAAGCATGCTTCCCAGGGGAGATTCTTCCCCAGTTACAGCAGCTATACGCACATCTTTGAAGCCATTTGAGATGAACAGAATGCCTAAAATCTGTACATCATTTGGGAAAGACATGATAATTGCCAAGGAAAAAATCATCTTAAAGACCACATCCTGTTTTGTTTCGAACTGTCTCCAACTGTCTTTATCATACCCTAACAAAGCAAATGTTGAGGATGACTTATTTTCAGTCTTGCCGCCTAAAAACAGGCAAAAACCGTCTGATGTTACATTGTTAAATGGATACTTTGCGGATTGTTAACCAACTTTGTATCAGAACAATGTGCTTAGTGTGTGTAAATGAACTTTGGTAAACTTCCCTCTATCTTACCAACACCCAGATCTCCCTGCTCATGTCTCAGCCCCTGTTGACTCTCATTCTATTGCTCAAACTATCCACATTTTCAGATGCCCCCCAAGACGTGATTCAAGAGAGAGAGACAACCATCTGTCTCTATTTCTCTCAAACTCAGACCAAACTCAGATCAAACTGTAAAACTAGGGCACTGCTGATCAAATAAACCAAGATCCTGTTACTGTATAGCCTATTTCAAACCTAACATATGTTTAGAAAAATATTTTAGTGCACTGTTTGGCTGTGATATGGGAGTTTGCAAACAGGAAGTGGGCACCATATTGTTTTTCTATGTTGTAAAAACAGAGACCGAAAAAATAAAAAACTTAAACAATAAAACTAAGCAGTGCTGGTCAAATATGAACCAAGATTCTGTTACTGCATTGCCTATTTCTTGCCTAAATGTCTTCAAAAACATATTTTAGCTTACTGTTCATATTGTATTCTGTACTGAACTGTGCAATATGAGACTGTCTGTTACATGCCATACTGTTTCTTGTAGAGAAACCAGCTGCATTACATCCCCGACCAGCAGGGGCATTGTTTAGGCTGGTGTGGCACAATGCATTCTGGTAGTTGTAGTTTTTTTTCTACCTCTTGAACAAATACAAATGCCACAGTCCTTTCCCTCAGTTTCCTCTGGTCATGTAGCACCAATGTGAAAAGTATTTGTGTCTTTCTACTGCACAGACAGCCCAGTTTTATGACCATCTTTCCAGCAGTGAAACACTTCTTTATACTGAAAGATGGATCAAATCAGATTCAAAACAATACAACATTATATACAGTACAAATTTATATTTGTGTCTTATTTTGCCGCTCGTATTTATCTGCTAGCTTAATGTCTAAAATGAACCATGTGTAAGACGACATGAGTGTGTTGCTAGATCATGCGAGAGTGTGTTGCTAAAACAAAGACATGTCTGCAACAAAGTTAATTTTTTCCTGATTTGTCTGTCTGTAAAAAAGCCTTTTCAGTGTCAGAATGTTAGGAAGGGTTGGGGGCTTGTGGAAAATGGGTCCAGTATTTACTTCAGTGACTACAGGGTGAAGGAAATGGTCATAATCCGTAATCCCATTCACTTTTCCCATTGGAATGAATTGACTCAGGGTCACAGCTAGTCTCCTTAATATAAGGAGACGGGGCAGTAGTGACACCCATGTGACACAGAAACAAGAAAAGACTCTTAACTGGGCCGTCTGGATTTATCAGTGGTCTCTGCTCCTAACTGCCAGCCTTAGATTTTAATAATAGCTAGATACAGGACGCCAAGATTGCTCCTATTCATTCCAGTGGAGTTGCTTGCCTGGTACATACAGTACCAGTCAAAAGTTCGGACACGCTTTCCCATTTACTTGAATGGAAAAGTGTGTCCAAACTTTTTACTGGTACTGTATGCCAAAAAAGTTTTCTAGCTCAAGCGTTCCACAGCTTCCACAGTATATGACCCATTGAATATGTGCAGTTTCTCCTGTTGGCCCCGCCTACAAGTTCCCACTTGGCTCATAGACTTGACATTGTGATGATGTCACAGATTTTTAAATCGCTTTTCTTGGCTTGAGGAAAGTTTTTCAAATGAAAAAAACCTCCATGGATCAAAAATTCAGAATAGATAGACTCAAAATTGACCTTGTTTGCAGTTCAAGGTTTTCTGTCAGCAGCTTTACAGATGTCTCTTTTCCAATGTTTGTCTATGGGGAAAATGTTTTTTGGGCTACAGGAGATTTTTTTTCAGCTGCAGTACCGTGAGTGACCACTGGGAAAAAATTGCTGCAAGGCTGGGCAGCTTTCCTGGGGGTCTGCTACCAGCAGCCTGAGAGCTTTCAGATGTTTGTTTTTGTTTTTTGGACAAATGTCTGTAACTTTGGGCGGCTGTTGCTCAGAGGTAGAGCGAATCATCCACTAATGGGAAGATCAGTGATATGATCCCCGGCTCCTCCAGTCCGCCTGTCGAAATAACCTTGAGCAAGATACTGCATCCCAAATTGCTCCTGATAGCTGTTCCATGTGTGTGTGTTAGCGTGTGAAAGGTTATCGAGTAGGCACCATATATGATCAGCCTCAGCCACCAGTGTGTGTGAATGTTGCGTAAAAGCGCTTTGAGTGGTTGGAAGACAAGAAAAGTGCTATACAAGTGCAGTCCATTTACTATTTTACCATTCAATAGCCAATAGCCGATGGACCATTTTATCGTCTACTTGACACATAAAGTGTGAGCACTTAGGTCATGGCTCGATGATTGGACCACACAGTGTGAGCACATAACTTGTGAGCTTGTGAGAACAACATTTCTAAAACGGTCTCAAATCGTACAGTGTAGTTTAACAAAATATGTAGATGTTATTTTTTTTTTGTTTGTTTTTGTTATATCCAAACTGAATGTAATAGTCTCCACCCAAACAGGCTGAAACTAAATCTCACCTAAGCCAGTTCTTTTTTTTTGGTCATCTTTTCATCAGCCTCAACCATTACCTGACTCATGCTCACTTACCAATCTCACTTTCTTTCTGTGTTCTCTTCTCTCTGCTCCCACACTGGCCTTTATCTTCAGCACCTCCTTATGCTTTCCCTTTCTCTTTACTACACAGCTAACGCTCTGGTGGTTTTATAATGCTGCAGAGGCAGGTACAAGTCTGATTGTATGTGTGTTCACCCGCGTGCATTTTCAGGGTGTTTCTGAGCATGGCCGCATCTGTGTGTTTGTGCATGTGTTCCTGGACATGCATGTGTGTGTATTTGTTTGCAGACCTTTCTCTATATTCTGCTTGGCTCTCTAATCTGTTTTGGTTCTGTCTGGTGAGCCGGACACAAAGCCAATTACCTTTTAAAGGGCAAATCGGAGCCAAATGAGCCGCACTGAGCTACAGAGGTAACCGGCTTAATAAAGCACTCTGTCTGCATCACTGGCTATTTCATACGAGATCCCACAGTATGCTGAATCTTCACCGGGCTGCAAACATACAGCATAATATCCACATGCATATTGCACATTTATAGAGTACACAAACACACACATGCTCAGATCGTTTTTTTCACATTAAAGCAGATTTTATCGGGCGAGTGACTGAGAGCTGTCATTTTGTATTCTGAGTCATGAGGTGCCACAGAAGCAGAAGGCTGATAAGAACTAATTTCTCTTTACTCCTTCATATTTTTTAATAAACATGAGTCTGAAAGGAAGAACATGTCATGGAGCTCCTGGAAAGATCTGCATCTGGACGTGATCAATTTGTTTTTGTGGGAGTCTTACAAATAGCTAAGAAAGAAAAAGGCAGGCAAACCTCGGTGCTATTTGCACCCAGGTGAGAATAGTTACACTGCAGCTATTCCTCTATTAATATCTATCCATACCACGCATTATTATGGATCAGTACAGGGTCGGGAGTGGTTCAGGGATTAGGGCAAAGAGGTCATAGTTAGGGCTTGTACGAGCCAATTTCAGACATTCTCTGAGATTAAAGCCGTAAATTTATGAAGAAAAAAATCAGAAATGTACTGCTAGTAAGTCATGTAATCTAGTATAAAGAGCAACACAGTCCACATAGGTAGTAAGACATGATTGATGAGTGGGTGAAATAAAAGGCTTTTGCATAGGACACTGGGCTTCAAGTCCCATATGAGCTAACACTGGCTTATTCATTTCAAACTTAGTTGACCTATAATTTCAGTTTCTAGGGCATATAGAGCTGCTGATTGCAAACTGTGTACATTAACTTCACATTTTAACAGACCCATTTGTATTAACATTATATTTCAACACCAAGGAATATCCACCCAGGTGTAAATGGCCACACTGGCTATTTTCACCTGAGCACAAATAGCATTGTTAGCTATGGACACCAAGGTGCTAATAGCATCTGCCTGAAATCTAAGTAGGACCGCATTTTAATGCAGATCAATTTTTCGGTCTATAAAATGTCACAAATAGTGAAAAACTACTCCCTTGAGGCCAAACTGATGTTCTCAAATGTCTTGTTTGTCTGACCAACAGTCCAAAACACACAAAGCTATTTAATTCACAATGTTATAAAACCAAGCAGCAACCCTGAGGCTGTAAAATGAGGCCAACGCAAAAGTGCCAACACCTGCAGTTCCTTTAATGGCCACTGGAGGCTGGCCCCAGAACCAAGTCAATCCCGATAGACTCTAATACATGTTTACAGCCTAGTGCTAAAACCAGTTTTCGTCTCTATAGCTTATTTCAACATTCATGACAACTGTACAAAAGGTGATTTTTTATATAGCTCACATTTTATTATGGCTTAAAGTTATGCAAATTTATGGGCGTGGTCTTCTGAGTGATAGGCTGTCTGCAAGACGTTGCTGCAGTCTGTAGCCCCTTTTACACTGCCAGATTTTCCGTGAACGTTGGGCAGTTTTGCCGGCAAGCTGCGAGCATTTAGACACACAGAGCTGCATTGGCGAGTTGATCAGAGGTGTCCAATTTTCCGCCTCGTAGGGTAGACATATTGGCGGAACCCTTTTAGTTTAAAAAGACCGAGGTGGCCTTCCGCCATGGGAGGGGCTGTTGATGACTTGTGGGAGGAGCTACTGATGACGCCACATGTGCGACCCACTGGCGGTGGATAAACAGGAAACAGCTGATAGCAGGAATTAGCGAACAGCTAGTAGCAAGAGGGAAACGCAAACCTGACAGACACTGTAAAGATGAGCAACTGAGGAGACAAGGAATTGCGCGTCCTCCTTGTCCTCGCAAACGAAGAGGCCATTAACTGTCAGATGACGGGGACGGTGAAGGACGGGCCGACTTATGAGAGAATCGCCGAAGGACTGACCAGCCGCAGCTTCCCTCTCACGTGACTGTTTACGTCACACGTTGAGCTACACGTTTTGTTACTTGCTCACGCCCCCCATTGCCTCAAAAAAGGCACATTCTGTATACACAAAAGTAGGTAGGCGGCATTTTGCTGCACTCCCTGATTTTGTTTTTATACTGCCAATGCTGAAAGAAGACTGATTGGGCTTTCCTGTGCACAATTCCTATTTAAAAAGGGCTTGTCAGTCAGATCCACCCTTTACCCAACCAATAGCTGATGTCACAGTAACTATGTCCATTTTATACATACTATGTTTAAAATGTGAAAAAAAAAGCAAATTCACACATTGGAGAAGCTGTGAAATGAAAATGTACTCCTATCAAAATAAGTGCAGGTCAACTGTCTTTCGATGGATTATGTGTTAAACTGATGAGTCATTCCTATATTAACACCACTCTAAAGAGTACTTAAGTAATCTTCTGTAATGTGACAGTCACGTTTACGGTGTCAACATCCAGCATTCATTTTCCTTTGGCTTTAGACAAACGGTTGACTGAAGAGAATTTAGTTCTGAAATAACAAACACAGCGCAGAGGTCATTTTACATCAACTACTCATTTTGAACTGTGCTAAATTCAGCTGGATGGTGATCACAGCACCTGACATCAAATTATTATGTTGCACTCAAATGGCCTTCAGACTAATCTGAGGCCAGAGTACCTTAATTAAAAATATAATAGCACAAGACATAGATAAATCACAAAAACTGCTTTTAGAAGTGAATCGTGATAAATCAGAAAAAAGAATCCGACAGGCTATCTCTTTTTCTTTTGTCTTATTTATTGTTTCCCTGTTCTCATTTTTCTTTTTACTTTTTCTGAGGCCCTAAGTCAGATTTCTGCAAACCAGGCGTTTTTATTTCCTCACCAACGATTTGCTGTCAGCAGAAACACAGAATGGTTCCTTTTAAAGGAACAGGAGGAAACAAGGATCAGTGAAAGAGTCGAGACAGGTCAACATGTGTGAATATATGGTGTGGAAATGGATAGCTCGCTACAAAAACAAACTGCCCATGTTGCAGGAGAGTGAGGGAGTAAATGGAAACAGAGTGGCTGACTAAAAACTTAAGTCATGCACCTGTGCTTCAACCTTCCTCTGGGCATGAAAAGGGTTTAAAAATACTGAAAACGCAGATAAAACACATTAAAAGAGCAGATGCAGTTTGGTGTGTAGCACACAGGAAGGAAGACTGCAGGCCCGACCTTTAAGATCTACAGATGAAAAACGAGCTACTCTTCCTCTTTTAACTTGTTATCTTACACTCTAAATCTTTTATGCTTCATGTTTTTTATCAAGGAACCCTGTGGCTGTCAGCGAAGCCGTGAGTCACAGTGCAGTCTGGGAGATGCAGTCTGTTGGGCGACTTTGGAGCAGCGGGAGGCCTGCAGCAGTAGCTAATGAAAACCACAATCCATAGCCAAGAAAATAATTGCTTCCTGGAATCACACACCAAGTTTCCACTGTTTTTTGGAAAAGGGGACGTGAGAAATGTGAAAGCAGCTCAGCGTGACATTACAGGCAGACATTTGGTTTGTGATCTGTATATCACTGGATGCTTGCCTGTTCTGTATAGCGGCCTGTCAAGGTGATGTATTTGTAACATGAACATGATTAGAAACTGCACTTATCTTTCATCCTTACATGTCCCTTTATGACCTTTTCAAACACTGATTGCCTAAACTGAAAAATGCCAGATCGCTGAGTGCAAAAACAAAGTCTGTTTTCTTTTATTTGTTCCCGGAAAGCTAGATTTTTAGGAGATGAATGACTTTCATCAGCAGCTTGGTGTTTTCTGAGCAACCCAAGACGTAAACTATTTAATCTCAGCAGCAGAGCCGTGAAAACTGGTGGCTTCATGTCAAAATATACACACAGGAGGATGCGAAAATAGACACACACACACACACACACACACACACACACACACACACACACACACGCATACTCACTTACCTAATTCAAGGTCATCACTGGGGTTGTGCAGCATGATCCTCTCCATGCATTTCTCATGTTCACGCTTGATGATACAGTGCCCGGACTCTGAGGCCACCTGGAGAAAATTAACAAAAACACACACACAGTGCCACAATAAATATCGACTGTAGTGATACACTGCACCACTGAGGACAGTGTTAAAGGCTCTGGAAACCTTTCATAACCAGCTTCTTTCTCTTGCCAAGAGCTACGATATAAACACAGTAATATCTGCCAAAGTTAAAATTACACCTTTTATGTGACATTAAAGTGCAATTTTGGTATTTTTCAACCTGGATTCTATTTCCCATGTTTTTATGTCTAAGTGACTAATGGGAACAACAGTTTTTGAAGCTGCTCCAGTACTGAGTGAGATCACTGCAGACGGCAGTGGCGAAAAAGGCTGTGATGTAATGCTGTGCACACGTGAGCCATCATATTAACGTCCATTATAAGTGTTTGTTTTGGTGCATGTTCAGATTATTATTTTCTGTGTCTGACAACTAATTGAAAGGATCCCTACAGAGATTGACCTTTCATTTATACAGCAAGATCCTTTTGGTTTCTTCAAAAACAGCCCAGAAATTGGTACCGTCAAACCCACCAGACTCTGTTTAAATAAACAGTAATTTTATCATCATACAACACACTTCATTCAAAGTCAACAGAAACAAAATGAAACTCATAAAATCCATCTTCGTTCCTCTTTCCACTGTTCCAACAATCACCAACTCTGGTTTGGTTGAAATAAACCCTTAATTCGCCCAGTTAGATATGACAATATGCTGGCTTTATACACGCTAAAATTACTATTATTTTAAATGGAGTCTGGTGGATTTGCTAGGACTGTTTCTGGGCAAATAAAAAGGGTCTTAGTCTTTAACAAAAATGTTTATCTTTGTAGGGATCCTTTCCATAATGTTGTCAGTCACTTATAACAATCTGAGCCTGTCAATGGCAAAAACAAGCACTTTTAGTGGACGTTAATCGGTGTTGCCAAATGCTAGGAGTTGTTACTTTGCAGCCTGTTTAGCGGGTGCCCTCTCACTCAATACTGGACCAGTTTAAAAATTGGTAACTCAAAAAAAACAAAAACAGGGGAAATAGGGACCAAGTTGAAAAATACATTAGTCACCCTTTAACGTTTGCCTGTTTGTATTTTTGTTTGTACTTTCCTCACTCATTTAAAATGTGCGGAGCTTTGGGGGAGGAAGGGAATGTCGGGTGTTTACAAGGACCCATCAGAACTTAGCAAATCAAGAATTGCAACGCTTAGGTTGCCAAGGAGACGTCACTGTCAGTCAAATGTGATCAAACCTCAAACTGTGTGTTTCAGACCAAGTGGGAATGTTTGTTTTCCTTACTTTAAGTTTGATTGTTGCTTATTGAGTGTCAAGTATTTGATGATTTAGAGAAATACTTAAGATTTGAGAGTTGCCTTGTAGCTGCACTGATCAATATTTCTATTCTGACAACGCATAAAATAACTAAATGTCAAATTAAAGGCATCACTTATCGTGACAAACCCACCGAGGACTATCAGCAAAATCTGCAGTTCCCTGTCAGGGGAGTTTTGGTGTTTTTCAGCTCATTGTTTTGGTTTTCAGGACCCCACATTCACTGTTTTGGTTCACTGTCATGGCTTTCATCGGGTCCACCTCTAGCTGCAGCAGCAGAAGGCTCTGATAAACCCACTGTACACTACCTTCTCAGAGTCAAACAGCACACAGACAAAGTCAGAGACTAGCTAATGAACATAGTGCAGCATTTAGCAGCTTCAGAGTCAGATATTTCTCTGAAGGTGGCAGTGTTGTTTGGGCTTAGAAAGCCTGTGGGTTTCAATTCTCTATCTCCTTTAACCTTAGCTTATATTGGAGTTATGCTATGTAGCGTGTTAAATAGAGTATGGTGAATGTGCCAGGAAAGGTAGTATCAGCACTGCTTTTACCTGGAGCTCGCATAAATGGAGCCTGGGGTTGGTTGAAGGTGGCGGTGCTGTTTGGGCTGAGAAAGCCATGTGTAAGTAAGGTAAAGGAGGTTGCTGGGTCGGTGAGGGTAGCAGTGAGACCTGGCATTAGGGGAGTGTCTCTGGGATGCCAGAGATCACTGTCTGGCCTCCTGGAGGTGCTGTGGGACCAACTAGACCAAACACTGGTGAAAGGAGGTTCCCACCTGATGACCCCAGAGACACGTTAGTTATCACTGCTCACTGGTCTGTATAGTTAAGCCTTGCCATAATAGCTTATCATAGGGCTTTGGAGGTGATTCACTGAGTGCTGATCCTTTCTCTAAAGCACAAACTTCTTGTGTTTATTTGAACTCAGGAGAGTTAAAGGGAGAATGAATATCAACTAGCATTTTAAGTGGTCAGTAATATAACCAGAAATAAGTGCTAATGTTGCTCTGTATCTGCTGGATGTGGAACTCAGTAACTGTTCGCTAACAGGTTAACTTTATGCCCCTGAGTGGGCAAAAAAATTAATTAATGCAGGGTCAAAAAGTGCAATTTATTCTGTGTCTCTGCATTAAGTGTTTCAATCTATCTATCTGTTGGTACATGTCAAATATTCGTCAAAGCATTTATGAGTATCCTGTTTATACCAAACCTCTCTTTTTCCCTCTGTAAAATGTTATTTCTGATGACTCATCCTGCACTCATGGGTCGAAGCAGCTAGTGGAGTGGTATCATGGGTCAAAGGTGTGTGTTTGTCATTATGTTAGTAAAACATAAAATTGTCTTTCTTGTTCTTCGCCTTTTGATTAACAAGCTGGGGGATGAGGGAGTTGTAAGCGGAGGCTCCAAAGTTTTGTTCTGCAGAGGTTTTCAAATTTACATCCACTTTTGAGTCATCAAATCCATGCACAATATTTTCCAGTGTCTCTTAAATTTCTATCTCACCAACATATTCCATGTCACTTAGAATTACAGTGGAGTAACTAAGGTGGGTCTGGTTCCAAGGTGCAGTCGGGGAAACTATTAACCCAGTGGTAGTCGAGTTAATATAAGTCACGCTCCTTCTCACTCTCTTAAAGCCAATCTCTGTTTTGCACCTTTACCTTTCATGCACCCTCCTCCCTCCCTCTAACAGTGAGCTGATAGGTGTAATACGTCCCAGCCCTCTGAGCCATGGCTGACTCATCACTCTATCTCTCTGCCCTCCAATATGAATTCACTCCAGGCCTTACTGCCGAGATAAGATGGGGCATCAACCAACTGTGAAGATGTCCCAGGATTCACCTCCTTTCTTTACTGCACCACACGTGGGCGGAATTTTAAAATGCTGCATGGGTTACGTGAAACATCATTAGAGGCATCTTTTATCTAGTTTCTGGTGCGATTCCATTTCCAGACAACAATATTGGACGCTGGACAGAAGCCATGCTGGCTAAACAAAAACAGAAGCAGATATTGAAGAGCTCACTTTTTCATGTTGTCAGGAGTGTTTGATATTATTTAATGAAGCAGACGCTGGCGTTGCTTGAGAGAAAAAACCTCTTTGTACCCATTGCAAGCATCCATGTTGCTAAGCAGCAGGTAACCAGCTAGGAGCCAATACATATTGTAGGCTTTCCAGAAATATGAAATAATTGGATGCAGATGACTAATATCTGTTTGGCATAAATGCAGAGAGGCCTGTATGATGACAGTGTTCAATATTTCAGTTATGCAACACACATGCACACACTCACTTGCAACATTCCTGAAGAGTGAGCATCTGTAGCTGTTGCTGACGTTCCCCGTTTCACAGAGGGCCCGACTATTTATTGCCCGGCCCCAGACCGATTGCACGGCAACCGGCAGAGACTCCAGAAAGTTATAGCTCCCAAATAAGAAATAATTCTGCACATAACTGCCTATAAAACAGCCTATTGTCATTTTTATACTTTGTTTTTTTTTGTACAGTGGCAAAACATTTTAATTATGGAGCTTTACAGGTGCTGGTGGGCAGATATTTGTTGCTGGACTGAGCCATGCAAGTTGTTTCATCCTGTTTCCAGCCCTTATGCTAAGCTAGGCTAACCTTCTTCTGGCTGTGGCTTCATATTTAACCGGAAATCAAGTGATTTTATTTGTCAGATGTAATCATAGGCTTTATGGTGCAGCTCCAGTGAAGCATATTCTTGCCAGTTCCTTCACTTTGTGCATTAAAAAGAGTTAAAAAAGGATATAAATAGCAACAAATATATGTGTATGATGGGAGTGTGGGCAGTTTAAGACAGTGTCTTCATTCAGTATCCTTGTGGCCTGAGGATAGAAGCTCTTCCTGAGCCTCTCAGTGCTGGTCTGGTCTATCTGGTACCTTCTTCCTGACCTCTGCAGGGAGAAAAGGCCACTATCTGGGGGGGGTTGGGATCCTTAATAGTTCTCTTAGCCTTGTTCTTGCAGCACCTATAGTACAGCAGAACAAAGGGCTCTTTGAAGGGCCTTGTGGTCCTGTTTGGTGCTCTCTCCTGACCTGGCAGCGATGTTCCCTGTCAGAACGCCCTCGAAGATGCAGAAATTGAGAAGAAATTTGTCAGTATTTGAGGAGAAACCTGAGTCAGTACGCAACACCCAGGTCAGGAACTTCATGATGAGGACACCAAGGTACTCAAAGCTATCCCCCATCTCCACTGAGGCCCTGCTGGCGTCAAAGAGGGTGTAGTTCCTTCCCTGCCTATTCTCAAAGTCCATTATCAGAGAGATGCAAAATCTGTTATCTAACTCTCTTTTTTAATGGAGCATTTTTAGTAAATCACAAGTTTGAATCCAGCTTGTAGAAATTAGGAGACTTCAAAGCTGGTACAGCCCAGTCCAGGTTAACTGAGGACTGCTAAAACAGGCACCATGACAACAGTGCACAAGGCAAAGGACAGATCAATTAATTTTTTTTAAAGTGTGCTTCTCATTTTCCTTTCCCCAGTCACTCCTCTCCTTTCCCTTGAACAGATGTCTGTCTAGATAAACTGTCCATTTTGAAGCTGCAGTGCCACGTTTCCCCCCCCCCCCCCAAGGCTATTTTCCAGGGCCAGATAACTCAGTAGCTCCCACAGTTGCGCACGGCACAGATAATAAAACTCCAATTTGACGTCGCAGACCACTGGCCCAGCGTACAGACCCGTTTGACACACAATAAGTACATCACAACAGACGTATCTGCCACATCAGCCGCTGAAGGTCAGCCTGAGACTGCACTGTGCAGAGATGTCAGCTGGAGGAACCCGTCACACATGTTCGGGGGGCAGCGTTAACTCTGAGGTTAGAAAAGATGTTTGTGAAGGTCGCAGTGTGAATTAATTTTAGTCTCCCTAGTAACCATCATTAGACTGGTGAGGGTGTGAGTATAAAAGGATAAAGACATCATTATCAAATTCATAGATAAAGGATGATGTCAGAGTCTCATTTATTTTCAGATGGACCAAAAACAGTTTATGTATCTGTGCAGCTTCACTGGGGAAACTGCTGCTGTGCCGCATCACAGTGCTGGATAAGATTCCTCCCACACATCTTGCACAACTCTTCCATTCTGCTTTTTATTTCAATGAGACCGCTAATAAAAGTGAGTCACAGCAGATGGATAGGCAGCTCTCTGGTCAGCCGGGCCATCTGTTATTGTTCTAACAGGCGGCCAGTCGTTTTAGCGCAGAGCTGATCCAGGACCTGTAACGTATGCTGATGTGCTGATGCGGCATATGGTGATTTCCACGCTTCCAGCGCTTGTCACAAACATATGAAAATAAACCAAATCTGAAGCTGAGAAAGTGTGAACGCACTCACTCCCTTATGGTTACGCATTCCTGTATGCTCCGGACCACACACACACATACACACACACACACACACACACACACACACAAACACACACCTACACATGTGCACAGTCTATAGATACATGCACACAAACTCTACTCACCAAGGGCAGCAGAAAGATTGCAGTCAGCAGGTAGCCTCTCATTGTCTCCTGTGAAGCGCTTGTATCCAGAAGGCTCCACAATATATGTGTGTGTGTTTTTGTCTCAGTGTGTGTGTGTTCACAGGGACACACTGAAATTGCTCCCCTCAGCGTCACCACACTTCAGCATCAAGGGCTCTGAAATACAACACACAGAGGAAGAAAATGTTCTGTCAGAGAACAAACAACAGCAACACTGTGATACGAGAGTGTCGCCACCGTGTTAGACACCTGCACCACTCTGTCATTTTATTCTATTAGTCAGAGACACAATAAGAAAAGCAAAATGCAGATATGTTACATTGTGATGTGTTATAATACTATGATGTTAACATTTTAAAACTCTTTACTGTTAGTGGATATTTTTTTACATGTTTTGTAAACTTAAGTATAGAATAATTGTTGTTAACTGTTAAATTGTTTTAGTTTTTGAGATTGTTGTTGCAAAGTTTTTCCCCATTTCTCATTTCAAATTTTTTATTTAAAAATATCCTCAATATTCCCAACCATAAAAAACCTGGCACTCTCCCAGGTAATGTCACAGTCCTATTGGTTTGTTATAATCACAAGTTTTAATACTTTCAACTTTGTTTCAAAGAAATCGTGTTGTGTCTATAGTTTTGGCATAACGGGCGGCTTAAAATACCTAAATAACCATGAGCCTCAGCTGCTGTTACCATGGAGAGGAAACCAGTCAGAGACCTGAATTCAAAACCTGTAGCTGAGAACAACAGACGGCACCATAGTCATCATAATTCATCCTAAATTGAGCCAGAATTTAAACCTGAATTAATTCTAGTGTTGTCAAAAACACTGATTTATTGACACATATTGATCCTGAATGATTGGAACAGTTTCAGTACAGCAGTATTGGTACACCAATTGTTGTTATTGTGATGACTTGATGTTGTGTTGTCTTGCTGTTGTTATTGCTGAAGCTGCTGTGTCATGATGAATATGATCTATTTTGTCACTGTGTTGTTGTTTTTTTTTTTATAATAATATATAATAGTGTCCTTTAGCAGAGAACTTATTCTCTGTTTCCTGCCCAGGGACTACAGATGAAAATGAGCTAATAGCTAACTCTGGTGCAGCTAAGTAGCTGTGCACTGTCCATGTTAAATAAATAAAAATAAATAAATATTGTTAATGTTTACTACATGCCTTCTGCTGTTCTCTGCTCCTAACCAAGAAAGGAAAATGTGTCATTGCAATGTCAAAACCTTGTTATATTTATATTATAATACATTTTTTGAATTGTATGCCCTAAATGTCAATGTGTCCTTGTAGCATTGAAAATACAATTGGATATAAATATTTTTCAAGGTATTGGATAGGAGGTAGATATTCCATTATAGTGAAAACACCAATCCATTTAAAAAGCAGGTTGCAAAATCCTTTTCCTTTCCATCCACCTGCAATTAGCAGCGTACATCACTGCATTTTAAGCTCTGTGACTGGATGCTTCTTGTCGAGATGCACCTATGAGCTGCAGCTACCTGCTAGCTAAAGTTTTTATACACACAGGTTTGTATCTCCAACTTTTTCCCACAGTAACAGATATTTTCAGACACAGTCAGGGGTGTAAATATAGACAGTGTAGGCAGTGTGATTGCACTGGGGCCCCTGGGTTTAAGGGGCCTGTTGAGAGAACAAGTGTTTCAGATTGCCACTTTGGAAATAAATCTGTACTCAAAGATTAATGATTAAAAAAAGAATATTGTAGATTTAAATATGGTGCCATTTGCTTTATATGTCCTCAAAAAGGTAAGGACACTATTGTAATCCTAGGTATTCTTCTTCTTTCTTCTTCCGAGGAAATCATACTTCCCATGGGTGAAAACTCACCAAACTTTGCACAAGGTCCAGTCTCATGCCAGATATCCTCAGCTGTAAACTCAAGCCAATAGTCCTGATGGTGGCGCTACAACCATATGTGCTACAACTTCTCAACTTTCATCAAACTGTAGCCCCAATACTGAAGGAACTTTTGTACATTTAAACCTATTAAAAAATTATGAAGTTCATCACTCTGTTTTTTTCAAAAACTGTAAAACTTCTTAAACCTATCTCCTCACACAATTTTTGCTCAATTGACACCAAACTTGCTACAGAGCATCTTCAGACTATCCTACACAAACTATGTTTCTCAGATTTTTGATTTATCAAAAACTTAGTTTTTGTAGGACAGTCTGATTTTTGATAAATCAAAAATTGAGCCTACAGTGCATCAAAATGTTTGACTAAACGGTACTGTAAACATATACATGCAATTCTTGCTAAATAAATCTTCAATGTTCATGAAAAAATGACAAAATTCTAGAGTCATGGTAGATGATGTGTGGCAAATTTCAGAATTTTATCTCAAAAACTGAATTTTTGACAGCATTTTGAATTTTGCTCTAATGTGAACAATTGGAGTCAATGTAAAAATGGCAATTTTAAACATCAGTTTTTCACTTATGGAGCAAATCAATCATTGTTACAAACAAATTACCAACATCGCCATGCTGTCTAGATGCAATATGTGTATTTTCAGATTTTTGTCTTAATAACTGAATTTTTAACAGTGGTTTCAAATCTGCCTTTCCATGCATGGATGGCTGCTTTCCTACACAACAGTGAATGGCTTACTCACTTTGTGAAGCCACTGTTGAGTTGCTACTTGCCAATTAGCTCAGAGCGGTAGATGACTGTCTTAGGCTCCAGAGGTTGCGGGTTTGAGCCTCAACTGGTGCAGAATCCACATTGTAATGTAAAAATCTTCTTGTGCTCCAGCTTATTGCTTAAAATTGTCTGAGCGTGACTGATCACTGTGCAGCATCTTCAAGTCTTTTTTTCTACTAGAAAATCTGCCTTCTCATGCTTGAAAATAAACCAAACTTTGCACAAAGGTCCAGTGTCAATACTTCAGTGTGAAACCATCTGAGGCTTCTCACTTTGCACATAGCTCAACTAGTTAAACATCAGTTTTTCACTTATGAAGCAAATCAATCATTGTTAAAATAAATTACCAACATCTCCATGCTGTCTAGATGCAATATGTGTATTTTCAGATTTTTGTTTCGATAACTGAATTTTTAAAATTTTTTTACAGTGGTTTGAAATCTGCTTTTCCATGCTTGGACGGCTGCTAAACCTGCACGTTTGGCTTAGTCAATTTATGAAGCTACACATGGACTGTCACTGACTAATTAGCTCAGTGAGATAGAAATTGATTCTTAGTCTCAGAGGTTGTGAGTTCAAGCCTCAGCTGATGCAAAAGGCAGATTGTGTTGCTAAATTCCTAAATGTCTTCCAATTCTTCTGCTTGTTGCTCAGAATTGCCTAAAAATGCCCAGACCTGACCCATCGCTGCGCAGCAGCTATAATTTTTATTTTACTTTTTGAAATAGTCAGTGGCTATCTAAAACAAAATGATGTGCTTTTTCGAAAGAAGCTACAAAATCTATAAATATAATATAAAAACTATTCAATTAAATGATTAATTTCTGACTTTCTTTGATATTTGTGTCAGATAAACAGTGATGATTGCTGGGTAATACGTATGTTAATATTGTCCTTTGTCAAGTCTCTATTTGTGTCAAGACAATACATGCACAATAGCGTGCACTAGGGTCTGTCATAACTTCCTTACACCAATGGACACAGTTTTCTTTTTTTTTTTTTTACTGGTGCTTTCAACAGGATACTGTTATGTCTACAAGACAAATAAATTAGACATTTCCTTACAGAACCACAGATGTCCAGAATTGTTTAGTCTGTGAAACAAGAAAATTTGTGGACTTATTCATCTGTAAAACCTTTGAAATTGAAAAACTGATCAAACTGGGGTTGAGACAAAAAGAAGCTTAATTAATCCAGCAACTATTTTAATACTCAAAAAATGTCAAAGTAACTGTGATATGCTGCTTTTTATTGTCTTATGTGATAGTAAAATGAGTCTCTTTAATTTTGGGGGTGTTAGTCACACAAAATGAGCAATTTGATGACATTATTGTGGGTTTGTGGAAATAGTTATGAGCACTTTTCATTATTTTCTGACATTTTATAAACCAAACAATCAGTACTTTAATCAAGAAATAATCATGTGATTTAATCATAATGATAATAATAACTGTTTATGTGTGTGAGGTGAAGACAGTGCAGTAGGCTACAACAATGTGTTGAAGGGCCGCAACTAACAATCACACTCCTCCTCAGTCGTACATGCATCACTTCCTATCTTATCCCAGCAGAATCCTACACTCATAAAAACCCCCTCAATCAAATCTCAGAGGCGACATTTGTTGTCTCTCACCGAGGTTATATACAATCACAAAAGATATGTCATCACCTGCGCTCTAAATTAAAGCAGAAAGTTGAAACAAAAGCGCAGATTTATGGAGGACAAGTTGATCACCAAAGGCAAGAAATTTGGAAGGACTGCATAAATTTACTTCAAGATAATGAAATTCATATGCCTCGGGGTCAGACTTTAAAACACACGCCGCCCTCCAACTCCCTTCCTTTTATGTCTTATTCATTCACACAGCCTCCTGAAAACACAATGATTCACTGCAAACACAAAGCGCACTGGCCAGCACCAGCAGAGACACATATAACACACATAGGTACAACCGGTGAGACAGCACACACACACACACACACACACACACACACACCCAAACCAGCTAAGCTAATTCATGCACACACACAGACGAATTCCTTTCTGTGTCCCTTCCCTCTAGTACCAAATCCAATTACCTCTAAAGCATCTCTCGGATGCTTTATCAAGTAATAGGACAAGCCGTACTCGGAGGAGAAACCCAGAGATATAGAGGAGGGATAACGTGTGTCAAGTAGGGCTGAAAACTGTTGAAAAACACACAATCAGGCATAAGACAGATACTTTCCACACATGGTATCAATTAGCTACATTTCTCTCCAAAATGTCACAGCAGTCATGTTGCTGAAGGCTCCAAATGAAGTTAAGAAACAGTCCTCCGGAACAAATCCATATGGCTTTGGCATGAGGAAGCACTGGTGCAGGGAACAGCAGAAGGGGCTGAACATCAAAACCACCCTGAGGGCAAGATGGCAAGAGAATCTTTGCTCAGCACTGGATACATGTGTACAAGCTTTAAAGGCGTGGGAATTTTGAGACATATTTAAACAATGTTCAGCCCCAGTATTCATGTGAAAACTGAAGTGAAGCACTAAATGTGGGTTTAAATAATGCACTGATTTAATTGTTTATTTTTCCAGAAGTACTTAAGAAAAGATACATGGATATAAGAGTTTTCGTGCGGATTTCCAAACATTATAATGGCTGAACTTGACCAAAAACAGACCGAGTGGGAAAATTGGGAACCACATCAACTATGTGTGTGTGTGTGTGTGTGTGTGTGTGTGTGTGTGTGTGTGTGCACATGCATAAAGAGAAAAACAAGAAGCTCCACTTAATGATTCATCTCCACTGTAAAGGGAATTTTAAAGATCTGTCTGCACACATCAGCTTCCTTCTCATGTGTGTTGAATGCCGCTGAACATCGTGCTGCATTAATAATTCATACCCAGTTTAAAACGATCCCAGTAAGACAGGAGTACGCCTCCAATTAACCCAAATGCAAGTCTGTTAAAACCTAAAAGGGGGGGTTGCGTGTCTGTCAGTTTGCAATCAAAAGCCATTCAAAATCATTAGTTCCAGGCAGCTTTGTGAACATGTTCAGTTAATGTTCCTGTGCCAGAATAAACAGGCCACATACAGCAGCATTAACAGTTTATCTATGGAGTCTTTTCTTTTTATTTAAATTACAGCTTGCAGAATGTCACACACGGTTTGTGGGAGAAAAATGCAACAGTCTAAATTACAATCAGTGACAAATGATTTTCCCCTTGGTGCTGCAGAATCAATACACTAATTTTGCCCAGCCTTTATCCCTTATTCATACACGTTTATTTCCATCAATGCATGTGGATGACCTTCGCTTTGCACATGGAAACATCAGCAAGAAAAGCGTCCACCTACTGAACACTGCCTCTCCTGAAATCCATCCCCAGGTTGCCTCCTCATTTAAGAAGAAATATGTTTTTTTAAATACATATAGCCTCGGGATCAGTGAAAGCCTCCTTAATTGATCAGCCGCAGCCAAAGCCAGAGATGTGAGTATGAGCGCGCAGCACTCGGCGTGCAAAACAAGTCAAAGCAACTTACCGATGCGTAATTTTCAGAGGCGCAGATATCTACACATGAAGCCATCGGTATTCACGCATACCCGCCGTGTTTGGGTGTGATGGTGTTTTCGGAGAACACGTTGTTTTACTCCTAAAACGGTCGGTCCGGAAAACGACAGGTGCCTTTTTGCTGCTGTTGTTGCTGCTGCTGCTGCTGCTGCTGCAGGACGCACTCACCGCGTTGGCTGCTGCGGCACCACGACGATGTGGAGGAGGAGGTGGAGGAGGAGGAGGAGGAGGAGGAAGAGGAGGAGGAGGAGGAGGAGGAGGAAGTCAGCTCCTTCGGGATTCGCACAGACAACAAAGTGAGACAACAGTTTAGTCTACAAATGCAGCTGGAGGGGGAGAGATAGACATAAATTGACCACAAGGAGATGAAAAAGAAGAAGTCTGAACACTGGGATGTTGAAGTGAAAGGAGAAACGATCGCGTCCTTATGCGTGGGACTTTGTTGCAGAAAATAAACTATTCATACAGCTCTGACATTTGCGCCTGCGCCACTCAGACGCTCCAGAAGGCGCAAGGTCCGGTTCCCTGCTGGGTGAAATTTGTGAGGCACTGAGCCGGCCCCATGATGTGTGTGACTCACGTTTAGTCAAAAGTTGAACATCTGAATTCCCGCCTGTGTTCCACATTAATCCAGAAATGCTGGTTTGTCAGGCTGCATTGTGGCATTTTGGTTCAAAACGCAGCCGTGTTCCTATTAAAGTGATTTGTAGCTGCCTATGTGGCCGCTGGCAATCCTGTTTACTTTCAGCACCACGGACAGCGACCAAACAACCGCCTCAGGGCATCGATGGACTCAAAGCAAAAGTCCATTACAACATTTTATCTGAAAATAAACAACAGTCTGAATACTAAGAGCTGCTTTAATTCAGTCTCAACAGGATTGATCCGTGCGGTGGCCTTGGACCAGAGTCTCTGTATGAAGGGGCTGTTAGCTGTTGTTGGTGAGTCATTGAAATGACTACAAAGAGATGCAAAATGAACAGAGAGACAAAGCAACCACAAACTGATGCAAAATGACCACAAAGGGACATAAAGCAACCACAGAGATGCATAAAACTACCACAGAGGCAAAACCACCCCCAAAAGGTCACAAAGCGACCTCAAAGAGATGACAAAGAGACATGACATGACCGCACAGGATGCAAAAGACCACGAAGAGACACAAAACAGCCACTGAGATCCTTAAATTAACACAAAGTGACCACAGAGGCAAAACAATCACAACGAAACACAAAGCAACCACAAGGAGACACAAAACAACAACAAAAAGATGCAAAATGACCACAAAGAGACATAAAACGATGACAAAGACACATGAAATAACCACACAAGATGCAAAAAGGACCACAAACAGACAAAAAACAACCACAAGAAGACACAAAATGGCCACGAAGAGACACCAAAATAAACCACAAAGACACGCAAAAAGACCAGCAAGGACACAAAATGACCACAAGGCTATGCAAAATTACCCCAGAGAGATGCAAAATGACCACAGAGAGACACAAAACAGCCATTGAGATCCTTAAATGAACACAAAATGACCACAGAGGCAAAACAACTGCAAAGAAACACAAAGCAACCACAAGGAGACACAAAACAACAACAAAAAAAGTGCAAAATGACCACAAAGAGACATAAAACGATGACAAAGACACATGAAATAACCACACAAGATGCAAAAAGGACCACAAACAGACAACAAACAACCACAAGAAGACACAAAATGGCCACAAGGAGATATAAAACGATGTCAAAGACACATGAAATAACCACACAAGATGTAAAAAGGACCACAAAGAGACAGAAAACAACCACAAGAAGACATAAAATGGCCACAAGGCAACACAAAACAACCACAAAGAGATGCAAAATGACCACAAAGTGACGACAAAGACATATGACCTGACCAAACAAGATGCAAAAAGACCACAAAGAGACAAAAAATGATCACAGGAAGACACAAAATTGCCACAAAGAGATACCAAAATAAACCACAAGGAGATAAAAATGACAACAAAGAGACATAAAACAAACTCAGAGCTGCACAAAACAACAAAAATACCACAGAGGCAAAACAATCCTAAAGAGTCACAAAGTGACCACGAAGAGACACAAAATGACCACAAAGATGCTAAATGACCCCAAAGAGTATCAAAATGACCACAAAGAAACACAAAATGATGACAAAGACACATGAAATGACCACACAAGATGCAAAAATACCACAGAGACACCTAAATAAATCACAAGGAGAGGCAAAAAGAACACCAGTGGCTCAAAATGACCATAATGACACACAATAAAACCACAAAGAGACAACAAATGACCACAAAGAGATGCAAAACAACCAAAAAGAGAACCAAATGACCACAAAGAAACATAGCACGATGCAAAACAACCACAGAGAAACACAATATGACCACAAAAAGATACAAAAGGACAACAGATAGACATAAATTGACCACAAGGAGATGCAAAATGACCCCAGTGAGACAAAAAACTACCACAAGGAGACATAAAATGATGACAGAGATGCAAAATGACCACAAAGAGACACAAAATGACCACAGTGATATGCAAAATGACTCCAGTGAGACAAAAAACTACCACAAGGAGACATAAAATGACCACAAGGTAATGCAAAACAATCACAAAAAAAAAACACAAAATGACCACAAGGAGATGCAAATGACCACTGAGAGACAAGCTTGACCATGGTGATTTGCAAAATGACCACAAAGAGACAGAAACTGAGCACAACAACCACTAAGAGATACAATACAACCACAAGGAGATGCAAAATGACCACAAAGAGATGCAAAATGATGACAAGGGACATCAAATTATACAAAACAACTTCAGAGAGACACAAAATGACCACAAGGAGATGCAAAATAACCACAAAGACACAAAATAACCACAAGGAGATGCAAAATGATCATAAAGGGACAAAAAAAAACAATGACAAAGAAACCCGCAACAACTACAAAGAGATGGTAAATGACCACAAGCATGTTTGTAGTCATTTTCTGTCTCCTCTAGTACAGGGGGTGTGGGTGTTTGTGGCTGTAGCCCCTGATATGATACTATGATAATACAGCTTATTATTGCCAAGAAACAGGGTTTGAAATGTGAGTCTTAACACATTTTTATTAATTTTTAAGGCCCTCCCTTCTTTAAAACTGTGCTCCAGTCTGGCCCCCTTATTCAGTTTCTAAACCCGCCCCTGGATCCAGGCGAGACAATTTCCAGTGGTAGCTATATGCAGGATAGTGTTTTGAGTGCAGGAGTGATTGATCACCCAGCTGGGGCCTTTTGATGGCTTGGCCATAAATCAATGAGGCATAAAAAGTATTAAACCCTGTGATGATGTGGGTATTCTCAGAGAACAAAACAGAAAGACTTGAAGACACTTGCCCAATCAAAATATATTAAATGCTGAGGAAAAAAAAAAAAAAAACAACCCATGAAAACGGCTGATTGGATGAGGGGTAGTGACGCACGTCTCCTGCTGTTCCCGGAACATTTTAACAGTGTTACTGGCCTCAAGGACATCCATGGAAATGCTCCCATTGAGAGAAATTCAGAAATTCTCTGCTACTGCAGTCAGCAATCTGTGGGCTATTTTTGTAGCATAATAGCAGGTAAGACAATGATTTGAGGCTTGTTTCCATGGAAAACACTCAGCTGCATCTTTCAGTGGCTTCTAGTGTTTTGACTCTCCAAATCTGCATGAACTTTAGACGAGGCAGCGAGGCAAAGACAGTCTATCACTGCTGTGATCATTGCAGCTGTGTGAGCAGAACAGAAACAGAGATAGACAAAAAAAAAAAATATCACCGTGTTTTTTTCAGAAATATCTCCACAGACAGTGTCCTTATCATGGTTACAGCATGAAATAATCGATTTAAGGTTTCAGGCATTAGCCCAAGGACATGGTGACATTGATGGTCAGGACCATAATTGAAATGTCTGTCAGTGTCAAAGGTCAAAGCAGCAACCTTCTGGCTATGAAGTGGCCTCTCCACCCTGAAAACAGAATACTAGAGATGGTTATTTCATATATTTAAAAGCATATTTTCAGCAAAAATGGCTTAGGCTGGGATCAGGTAGATTATATTCTGTTTGTATAGTTTAGGTTCTGTAACCAAAATGGAGTTCCCACGAACTGATGGGAAGCGTTTCTTTCTTGTTTGTTGCTTTATTGACATAAGTCAGTCTCTTGAAAGCACTCATGCCCCATTGTGCCACCACTCAATGAGCCTCTCCACAGGACACATCTCCCTCTCTCTGTCTGTCTCCCTTCAGCCATTGTACAACAATCATACTGCTGGATTGCCATGGCGACTCGTCTTCGACAGAATGTGGGAGAGAAGCATCAGTTGGTTGAGTGCTGAGCCCATTCACCCACCTCATCTCAGAGAGGACGCTGTGGGGAACCAGACCTCATCCTAACCCCCCTGCCCCTCTTCATTCTCCTCCCACATATCTGCCTCCCACTGAGTGTCCTACTTGTGGAGGATTAATCAATCGGTGATGCACATGAGCCGAAGGCAAGACTTGACAAAGATGAGACAATTCAAAATTCAACCTTTTTTTGTTTTCATTTTTTTGACCTTGTGTGCGTGCAAATAGTTTTGCTAGTTATGCTCTTTGTCTCTATGAAAGCACTATATGAATGAATTTTACTTACTTACTTTTTATCCATTCATTCAACAGGGAGAGTGTCTTGACTGGATGACTGATTTTCCACACAAACTGACGAACCAGCATGGCTAGAAAACATAACAAAAACAGGCACAATGGACAGGAAGTTAACAGCCCACCATACTTACATCATCAGCCCCCTTCACTCCTTGGTCCAGAGGCAGGAGCCCTGAAGGAAATGCCAAGTTAGCATTTAGCTAGCTATGAAAGTTGTGTCTCAAATCGCCTACTTCTGTACTTACACTTAATATTAGGGCCCGACCGATTTATCAGCCGGCTGATTATAGCCATTAGAGAATAATCTTCAATCGGCCAAAAGTTGGCCGATTGACGCTGATGTTAATACTTATATTTTCATCACTAATAAAATGCAGGGAATATGGTGTTAAACCTACCTCTGTTAAACTGGCAATAATAAGAAGAACTCTGGTACTGTGAACATATATGTGAATGTCCTAATTCATGTAGAGTTTGCATGTTTATTTTATTTCCCAGAGGTTTACTGCCTTTTTGCACATCATATTTTTGATTTATTTTGTGTTCAAATTGTTCATATGCTGCTTGTTCCTTCATTTTATATTTTTGTAACGAGTGTTTGAACTATATTTAAGCCATGAAAAGCAGGTATTTCGGGGGGTTTTAAATTGAAAAACGTAAAAATTTAATAGGCCGATATATTGTTTAACGGATTTTTTTATTCTATGATATCG